GTCTGTTCATTTGATCTTGACTGTGAAAAATCATGTTTTGTGAACCAATTTATCCTGCCGATAAAGATTTTGCAAGCAATCCTGGTGGTTTTATGTTCTAGTGCTTACACTTAATTTTTAATTCCAAAGAAACATTTCTTAGGAGACCTTTAACGTTTGATTACGGTATAATCCACTATAATCGAAAATATTAGGAATTAATTTTAACTTCCTGTTACTGTAGTGAAATTTTTCGATCACGTGTTTAAAATACTTAAGTAGCTCTAAAATTTTCAAAACGATATCCAGTATTTCCGAAACAATTTACAAAGGCTTTTAAATACACAATCTTATGAATCTTAAAGTATTACGAGAACCACCCATTTAATCTCCAGAAATACATACGAAAAACAAGATAAATCAAAAGGCTGCAAGCTCTGTGGTATTTTCTGATCCTTGCCAATATAAATCGCACTGTACAACTGTATTATTTTCCTGTATAAGTTTATTTTTATGTACTATAATTCTTCCTTGCTTGGTACTACAGAGTTTGAAAACATTTTGCCATGACTAGAGTTTGCATCAAAAATCATTTATGTTCATTTTTATGACAGCCACACTTTATCCTTGCTTATCGTGGCTATTTCCTTAACAAAGAAACTTATAAAAAATAAATTGCCTTTGAATGGATTTGAACCCCCAGAACACACTAAACGAGCGCGTTACCCTTGCACCACGGAGAAAGATATACGAACAATGCCTGAATAAAATCAAGTTAATACTAAATTTAGATTTTTCACTGCATTTCGGGTTAATTCGAGGTTTTTTGTTCAAGATAAAACCTGTTCTTTAACATTTATGTAAATAATTTAAACAAAAATATTCTCGCCAAAACAGTCCGACATGTATATATTCCACTACTCGACAGTCAGATTTATTTGTGAAATAAGCTCTCGACATCGCTTAAAATGCGATTTTCATTGATTAAAATGATATTCATCCGCCTAATTTGTGAATGTGCATTCATTGGACAATTCTATAAGCCAAAGCTACTTTTAACTTTGAATGCGTTGTAATTTGTTGGATACTTATAAAACAAAATGAAAATATTTCTTTCTTTTAAATCGGTAGTTTTCAGGTGTTTTAAGAACTGTTTGTTGTTAGATTTTGTCGTGAAAAACCGCTGTTGGTCAGAGATTGAATGTTAGCTTTGTATATCCTAATCTTCGATCAGAAATACAAAAAGGAAATGGTAACATTCAATGAATACAACCACCCACACGACCAAGCAAAACAGGACCACAAGCTAAATTATCAAATGAAAAAACATTAATTTCAGGCTTTCCAAGTGGTAAATAAAAAAGAAAAAACAACAAAAATGAAAAAACAGGAAGAAAGAAAAGACAAAAGTAGAGAAAAGTAAAGGTTTTCGTGCTATAAAGAAAGAAAAGCAGCGTTCTCTCCCTAACTTATTTATGCAATGAAATGCATCCGATCAATATTTAGCCATTGTAGTTTTTTGAAACCAGTCACTCGTGTTTTTTCAAAAATAGTCGGGAAACTGAACCCGACTTTTTTTATCAAAACATTTACAAAACTATTAAGCAATGGTATGCCATGGATAAACAGGCATATAAGGAGTAAAAACAATGGTTATATATGCATTGCCCTTTACAGTCTAGGAGTTGGAAGTCATTATAAAACATAGTTTAAGCAATGGTTGTTGTATGAGGTGAGGTTAATAATATCTTACTGAAATTCTTAAAGTTACTTTTACTTACCTGCCCTTCACATTTGTCTTGCTGTATCATGATTTTGTTTGTTTCGTTTTTTAATTTGAAAGAAAGTTAGGCGTTTAAAAAACAAAGCAACTATATAATCAGTTTTAGAGTTCTATTTTCACTAGTCACGGCCCAATAACCCTGCTGTGGAAGCTTGACTATGTCGGGGGCTGCGTCATGTGAACCGTTGCCGTCGCCTTGATTGTCTTTATTCCAGTTTTCCTTTTTTCACTCTTTATAACGCTCTCAATTTCTTTTTTCCACCGCGGCGGAAGCTTTCATATCATTCGGTAACATTAAAGCACAGCTCAATTACCCATCACTAGTACGGAGGCCTTCCATAAGAAAAAATTTATCAGGATATCTGCTAAATCAAATAATGATAATAATAATATTATAGAGCAGATTGTAACTCTTTTTCCGACCTTCTTGATAATGTTTACCATGTGCATGAAACAGGTATCAATTGGCTATAGTTTTGAATGTCTAGATCAAAACATATAAACTTTTCATCAAAAGTTTTCCCAATGGCGATAAAAAATGCCCAAATATGTATGTAAAAAGATAAATATTAAATTTTTAGATCTAAACTAGCAAAGAATCATTTTTCTTAAAAATTTTAATTATTTTCCCCTAAAAATACATTAGGGAAAAAAAATTTTCTAATAAAATTGAAGCCCAAAATTCCCCTTAAAAGGGGCCCGGATTAATTCTCATTTAGCCAGTGCTTTTAGTTTCTTTTATCAGAGTTAAAAAGAAAAATTTTGAATAAAACAAAAAATTTGTGTGTGCATGTGAATTTTTTTTTTACAATACTCAAATTCATTTTTCGTTGTATTTAAAGGTTTTCGAAGTTTTTTTCCTGAACGGGGGTCAATAAACCCAAAGGGCCTTTTTAAATAGACCCCCTTACCTGATTGACAAAGTAAATTTTTTTTGCCTAATATCATTTATTTTTTTAAACCCTTACAAAGTTAAAACTAAATTTAATTTAAATTTCACGAAAGCTCTCAAAAATTTAAAATGATATTTTTAAAATTTTTGTATGTCATTTTTGAACTCCGTACGTTTAGCTAAATTTTATCTTGTAATTTGGGGAAAAAAAAATGATTACAACAATGTAAAAGCTTTAAATATATTTAAAATTTCTTTTTAAAAAATTTTTTTTCACAAAAAAATTGTTTAACAACAAGAAAATTTTAAAAAAACAAAACCCCCTTATTTTTCTTTTAAATTTTTGGATTGTTTGGATTTTTCCGGTTTTGCATTTTTGTTGCTGCCGTACACAAAAAAATTTTCCGGGTTTTGCTTTTTTGCATCCCGAGAATATCATGGACCTTGTTTTTTTTTCCCGATTTTTCAAACTGAAAGGGGTTTTAAAAAGCTTTTCCCACAAAATTGGAGAAAATATGTATTTAAAAACGACTTGCCAATCCCAAAGAACACATTCAATGTATCCACTATTCTGTTTGAATGTCCCTAACTCGCAGGTAAACAAAAAAATTCGGTTCGTGAAATTTTACTTTTTTTTGTGTGACATTCCCGGCCGTACCTCAGTGGAGTACCTTTACTTAGCGACAAAACAAATCAAAAATAGGTGCTCAGTAGTAATATGTATTTTTGAAACTAACATTTTTTTCAGGGAGTCCCCTTTTATAAAAGTCATGCTAAACAACACCAGACATTTTCTTTTTTCCAAAATTTTATCAGCTTACTAGTTCATTGGTAAACTCAATCACACAACACATTCTCATAGATTGTACCATTGAATGAACCGAGGCAATATTATAGTGTTTTGAACCAATCCGAAAGTTGGGGACATCATTCACAGGAGTTCCTAATCTTATTGATAAAAAATTCTAATCATTATGGATAAAAGAAATTCTTATTTGCCTAAATTTGCACACAACTTTCTCGCGAAAAAAAACCTATAAAAGGCACATACACAAGTCAGAGTCAACCCTTACTGGCAGCGGTGGCGAGTACAAATAAGCTCAAATACACACCATACATTTGTCGGAAGACTCGCCCCATAAAATGGGCAGACCAGTGGTCGGAGTATAAATAACCTCAAATGCAGACACAGTCGTCGGCAACCTAAAGACTTCTTATTGGGCGCTTACTGAACATACTTGGACTTACAAGTCATCTCTTTGGCAATACTCTGCGAATATTAGAATCTTTCATGGCGAAGGGCCTTTTTTGTACAAACTGTGGATGGACCTTCATTAAACATAGACTTCGTCACAATCCTTTTTGACATGACAGGATTTTAATGATAACTAAGGAAAAACATCCAGTAAATCTGTAAGTTTTCTACAGCAAGTTCTTGTCCGAATTTTTGCTAATCATATACATCTATGACATTGGCACGGTTTAAAAAAAACAAACAAGAATAAAGATCAACAAGATAAAGGCAACGTTCACAGGACACAAAGTCTAAAGTCTTAAGCCTAAACTCAATTTGTAACGGGGAAGTCATTATCTTCATAGTAGCCAAAATGATAGTGCATACTCTTACCAAAGATAACACCCTGTTTAATTAAAAAACAAGGCTTGTCTAATTACGAAATTTTAAAGGGGGATAAAACAAAGTTAAACTGACGAGTTTAATATAATTCTAATAATTACATTATACCGATGTACGTATGTTGTTTTAACCCTTAACGAAGTCCGTAATTAATCATTGCGTTACCAGACAGTTTTCCATAATAAACCGGCTATATTAACAAACATTGCTTCCTTTTTTAATACAGGTCGGTCCGTTCGTTCATCCGACTCTCCCGTCGTATTTTTTTAAAAATTAAAAATTATCTTCTTTCAATCTATCTTTTCTTTAAATAATAAATTAAACAGAATGTCATATGATATAAGTAATGTGTAAATCACCCACTTGTCGAGAACATAATCTTTAACATTTGATGCATTACATAAAAACGAAATAACATTAAAAGTTTCCATTTCGTGTTTATTATTGACACGCTGACGTCTATGATAAATTTCTGGCCTTACTTGAGGTTTAAGGCATTCGTGTACACATGTACCCGATATAAACCACATATTTTCCGCTAGGTGTATAGTTACTCAGGTAACAAAAATGAATTATAAATTATAATGAAGCCATTAGATATTTCAACATAGATGTTGACGTTTTAATGCATTAGACAATTCATAAAAAATTACAGAAAGGCGGTTCTGCATATATGTTTTAGATGAAACATTTATAATAATCATTATAGTTTACAGGAGAAATAACTTAATCAAAATGAGACAACCATCACAGACACGTCACTTCACTTGCATGTTTTTTATAATTCACATCTTGTAACCAACACATTCAAATATTCTTGCGATATCGTAAGCGGTTTTATTTAACCCAACAGATGTCATATTCGCAATTATTGCCACAACAACACCTTTTGGACGTTTTGAATTAAATAAAGATGCCTCTTGCAGATCTTGAGCAGTATTTGACTTACTGATTATTCCATCAGTCTTATTTTCTGAATCTTTGTTTTTCTCGTTTGTATGAAGTGCACTTTCTCTAGGAACAACCATCAAGACACTACTTGCCCCGATGGCACCTCCAGTATGACATGCATAGAACTTTTGATCTTTGCAGAATGCATGCTCGTGTTTGTTCCGGCAAACACTCCAACCCATACCGTATCCAGCGTTGACTATACCTTCCCACTTAGCTTCCGGGATCACATAGGGTGTCCACATCATTTTCATTGTGTCTGGTTTAAGAAATCCAGACAGTTTATCATCGTCTTCAACATTTTCTTTTGATTCTTTGAGAGTCGTTTGAGTAAGATTTTTCTTTTTCTTTTGAATTGCCCCTTTACTGTACTTGTAGGTTTACTAGAAGGGAATTGGGAATTTTGGCCTCGTTTGGTTAAACTAAAAAGCATTGCATTTCCCCAAATTTGGGCGGGCGTCTAACACGTTTTTTAAATAAAGGCCCCCTCCGCCCTTTGTTTTGGGAAAGTCCACAAACGGGGGATTCTCTTTACCCCTGTTTTTTGTTTTTAAATAGTGGCCCCACAACGAAAGGGAAGCATTAACCCTTTCTTTACTTTTTTGAAAATATTTAAATGATTTATTTCATATTGGGGAAGGGAGAAATAAAATACAAAAAAAATTTCCCAAAAAACCTTTTTGTTAATAATAAACATTTTTAAAGAAAATGTTAAAAAGGGAAAGTTTCAATACTGAATTTTTTTTTATTTTTTTAAAAAAAAGGGTTTTAAATAAATTGTTCTGTGGGAAAATATTAATACATAATACATACATGAAGGATACGGACCCCAAAGTAAGATAAAACTCCAAAAGAACCTTTGCAAAAAGGTACTACTATTAGGAAAAAAATGGTTTTGAAATTTCTTCAAATGACTTTTGAAAACCCAAAGGCAAAAAAAACAATGTTCTTTTAAGAGCCCCCGGCCCTTTTTTAAAAACTTATTTTAATGATTATTTTATCCGTAAAGTCATTTAGGAATTTTATGGATTAATATCATAGCATATAAAAATGACACAACTTCAGCTCAGTCCTCATATACATGTTCTTATTCACGCATGCGTACTCGAAAAGACAATGCCCTAGTAGAAACTGACATACATTGGCGTTTATAATGAGTGTCAGCAAAATGTCTAATAACATTAATAAAACCTTTTATTGCTGGGAATATAATTATGTTGTCCACGTTATGATATGACCAGATGGTGGTTTATACATAATTTTCCCTATAGATTGTCGTTTATGAGTTAACAATATTATATACGTCTAACATTGTCTGTTTTGAAGTGTATTTATGAGTGGTAAGTAAATTATATGCGTCCAATATCGCAATAACTGAACTATTTTCTCATGTGGTCAGTATGTCTTACTTTTTTAGCAGTAGATTAATATTTCCTCTACTTATGAAACATGACATAGAGTAGTTCTAAGAATAAGAGTGTGTCATGTGTTACACGAGTAATAAGGGTAGTAAGCGCAACAGCTATGTTTAAGATTTAACTTAGATACTGGCATACAAATCAAATGTATGCCTGGAAATAAAGATCTTAAAAGAAAACTGACTATTCGAAGAAAGATATTTTAACTTATTTAAATGAATAATATGACATCAAATCTAAAAACCATTGGTTAATTTCTATAGTTTGTGAGTCACAAAAACATAAGTGTGTTTATGTACCTTCCTCTGTTTTTAATGAGAGGTTGATGTTCTTCCAGATATGTATTTTCTAGGCCCAGTTCGTCCAACGTCTGTCGTAAATATTCCTCAAACGGCATCTTTGCTGCTTTTTCTACAACAGCACTTATAAGAGTCCATCCGTGAGTTGTGTACAGAAACTTTGAACCTAGATAACAGCAAAGATGTAAAAAGAAAATAAAAATCTAACTGTATCAACACCAATAAAATTTCTTTCAAGTTATCATAGAACCACACAGATATTTTAACAAAGAAACAAAACATTCACTGTACATGAAATTACAATTGCACAAGTTAGCATTATAAAAAGCAAATATGAGCCGCGCCATGACAAAACCAACATAATGGGTTTGCCAACAGCATGGATCCAGACACAGTCTGATCAGGATCCATACTGTCCGCTACCGTTACAGGTATTGTAAGCGAACAGCATGGACCCTGATCAGACTGCGCAGGCTGGTCTGGATCCATGCTGATCGCAAACGCACTATGTTGGTTTTGTCACGCAGCTCATTTATCATTTTCCTGGCATAGTAAAATACATAAAAAGGTGCAAAAGAATACAACGCTATATTTTATGCTGTTAGTTACAGATAGAAAAATGGTGATACGGTGATACAGTTCTTAAATTTGCAAGTCTAAAAACCAAAAGGATAATGAATATGTATACATTCCTCAATTCTTTATAAACACATTTATCAGATTTTTATAAAAAAGATAGCTCATCTAAAGACATGCATCTTTATTACAATTTCAATCTTCAATTTCAATTTATTAATTCAATATTTAAAAAAAGCCCCAAGTTCGCCTTTTAAAAATTTATGTTCCCGGGGGTTTTCATCGACGCCATATACCCGCGCAATTTACAATAAAACTACAAAACCCAAAACCCGGTTGTGAACTAAGGATCGGGCTTTAAAAAACCCCGACTTTCCTGAGGGTTTGTAATGTTTGTTAAAAGTAATATTCCCCTAATGTTTATTTTACTCCTTGGGTTTTTCTTCAGGGTTTCTCTCCCCTTTTTTATTTCCCGGTACAGATTTTTGGGGAAAACTTTCTTACATTTTCTTTTATTTGTTCTGGGTTCTTTCTTTGGGAAAAAAAAAAAATAGTTATGCGATGTTATATTAGGGACAATGGATTTAAACTCCCAATTTTTTTCTTTTAAATTTCCCTTCTACCTTTTCTTTTTAATTTAAAATCTATTCTTTTAACAAAGGGTATTTTGACAGATTTAACATTTCAAGAATTTCAGGTAAACAATTAACCACTTATTTCCATTGTTTGTTTCTATATATAACATGAAAGCAATAACTACAAGTTATCTAGAAATAACTATTTTAACCGTTTCTCTACTTGTAATAGAGTTGGTAAGCGAACAGCATGGATCCTGATCAGACTGTGCGGATGCGCAGGCTGGTCTGGATCCATGCTGGTCGCAAACACACTATGTTGGTTTTGTCGTGACGCGGCTCATTTTAACTAATGTTTTCTCAATTGCGCTACTAGTATTCGAGGGATGATCCAGAATTAGGTTAAAAATTCATATAAATTTCACGTTTTCTTCATTTTTCTTCGTTAGTATTTTTAACCAATTGTGTTGTACTTAAAAAGCATATTTCTATAGTGTGCAAGACTTTCTTTTTTTTTAGTACCCCTCATTTCATAAAATTTTCAGTCTAAATTTAAACCCTTTTAATGGGGGTTTTCATAAAAATGGAAAAAGAAAGCAATTTAAAGTTCTTACGTTTCAATGGATTTTCCATTTTTTTTTTAAAAAAAACCCTTTCAAAAAATGACGAATTCCTCCTAAATGGGAGAGTAGCTGCCGGGTCGTGATTTCTACCTGTAATAATAATAATAAAATAAATTTGTGACTGACGCAAACGCATTAAAAGCGTCTAGACAAACTTCGTTAAACTTATGAAATGAATCAATATAGATGAACTAAAAAAGGGTTTTATTGGCTAAGCGACTACATGAATATCTGTAAAAGACTCATTAAACCCAAAATACTATAAATCTTTAGTCTCAAACATTTTTTTAAAAGTTTTGATTTTCTGCTTCAACTAATAATCGGTACTTTAATTCCTTATATCTGAACCATCTTTCGCTTTTACTAAATGTAAAGAAATGGGAAATTTTTAAATATGATACAGACACAAAAACGTTTTTTAAAATTTTTAACACTCGGGTACATAATACTGCACAGGCTTATCAATGTCAAGGTCACCACGTTCTATAAGCTTAGCAACCGTCGCCATGGTAATCGCCTTACTTATACTTGCTATACGGAATACTGATTCTGGTGTGCACTTAACGCGGTTTTCTAAATCTGAGTAACCAAAACCTGTACAGAAGAAAACAGATACATTTAATATATTCAAAGTATAAACGTATATTAAGCTGCTTAACACACTAAGAAACCTTTGGATAAATAGCAATTTAAAATTGGATCAGTATGATTCTAACATATAACATTTACATTGCTACTTTCTTACTATTCATAGAGGGAAATGCCTAACATATTACCACTCGCCTAATAGTTTTTGGTGCAAATTAAACAATTATTATAGTGGCATTTTGAGATAAAAGACAACAAGATGTCAAGATCCAAAACCTTTCAATTAACTCATCAATGTGTACCTATCGGATAACTGAAAAAAAATATAATTGCTAACATTTATAAAATATATATTCGTTCTTCCGGTAATAAAGTTTCTTTACAGAAGAAGAACAAAATGTAATTATGATAAATTTATAGGGAAATACCTTCTGTCCAGACAATCTTTCCATCGACTGAGACGGCAACCGTCATGCCTGGACTTCCAGTCTCGATCTGTACGATAAAAGAATTTAAACCTTTTTATTTTGGGAAGGGAAACAACAAAAAACACACATAAAAATGTAGCGACGGTTTTTTTCTGGCAATTTTATGACTCAATTTAACAGTTTGGATAAAAATTAAAAAACCGGGTACTTTTTCAACACAATCAATTTCAACACCCCAACACAACCATGCTTTGCCCTTGTGGCGCCGTCTTTTTTTTGGTCCCTGCGGCCCTTTTCGCAAACCGTTTGCTTTGGCGACTTAGGGTACATTCAGTGAAGCCCCTTCCTTGTTGGGTCTTTTTTCCCCTTACAGTTATACAAAAAATATTTTTTTAAAATGTTTTTAATTTTTGTTTTATGGGTGAAAAAGTTCCCTTTTTCCTACATCTTAACGAAAATTAAGGGGGTACAACTTGATAAAAATTTTGGCAATTGGGGGGATAAAGTTAATCAGGAAGCGACCAAGATAAACACCTGCAAACATCCATCTTAAGTAAAAATTAGTTTTTATAAGGACTAAAAATGAAGGAGGAATATTCGAGATACCTTTTTCACAAAATAGAGATCTCTCTTTTTGTTAACGCCCTGACAGACAAAGAACCGTGGCGCCAAGCACCGTTCCATCTGGTTGCTTTTTTCCCTGGTCCTCAGTAGTATACTGTTCAACGTTTTACTTTTAACTACAATATTAGTTAGCAAACAGCACAATGAACGTTCGGCTTCAGAAACTAAAGACAAGTACATGTTAAAAACCAGGTTTTAAAATACATAAAATGATCGCAAATAAAAGGAAATAATTTAAGAAAGAAACTACAACTTATTGTTAATTTCTGGAAACAGTGTTAAATAAAACCTTAGTAACATTTAGGGCAGAATTATATATAATAGGAAAAACAACTGGAAATTAGCTTCTCGGCCGCCATTTTGTCATGTTGGTCGTGTTTGACTTTTTAAAAGGATTCTAAAAGAATCGTTTGGCTTGTATCGAAGCTTTGTTGCTAGGTTGATTATAGACAAGACACAAGAGTAGAACCATCGGTCTTCGTAAGGTAAATGGACAAATCAATTACCTGAACGAACGAACAACGGTTGAGGAAAATGTGATTCCAAGTTATCAACTTTATCTACTCTACGAGGTGGCGAACATATCTTTAAGCTCATTTAACTACGCAGAAGACTTTAGACTAAAGTTCTTTGCAAACGACATGTAGCTAATTGCATTTATAAGTCTAGTTATAGCATCAGGGACCAATCAAATAAAGTTTTACATACCTTGACCACAAATCCTCCAACAAGAACAGTTCCTGTAAATAATGCTGTCCGGAATATAAACTTTCCATAGCGATCTGGATTCCGCATGCCTTCATGACTTAACTGCCTCCGCTGTTGTAGAACAACCCTATCCAGTTGACTTTTAATATTATGCCTTGTAAAAAAAGATATTTTACAAACACGGAATAATCCCCGAGAACTCTGCATCGTTAACCGCCTGGAAAATAAAACTCTAACAGTGTTCCCTGACTACCAGTTACAATCTACATAATTTCAAATAAAGACGTAAAATTTTTAACATTTGAGATCCGAGTTTCCTTATTATAGAATCTTTGTTCAAGTACGGTCAAAACCAAGACCAAAAACATGTAAGGAGATAGATATAACCTAGGCTGTTGTGTGTTTAATCACGCTTTAGACTGTCCTCAGGCCACTTTCTTGGCAAGAAAACGAAGACAAATTAGACAAGCTGCCGAATATATCGAAATTATTCATATACAATACAGGGTTAATGCACATTTTTTTCGTGCATTAACATTTGCAGAAGCACAATGACACATTTTAAGTCAGAACCAACAGGGCGAGACTTTTTATAACTCTGAAAACTTTTGCAGATGTTAATGCCCGAAAAAAATACATTAGCGCTATTCTTGCATAAAAGTATCAATCTTAATTGGTTATTCATATAAAGAAACCATTGCTTGTGACAAGCTTTCCACATGTTTGTGGCGTTATTGCATAAAGCTGTTTGTACTAACACACATAATTAAAAGAGAAACAACGGCGCGTGGACATAAGAATTTTTCCGTTCATGCATATTTTCTTCTCCATTAATGTAAACCTGCCTTTGAATATCCGTTAATACATATTTTGTTCTCCATTAATGCATACCTGGATGCGCTGTTTTATGCAAAAATAGCTGTTGGTTCTGTGGAGCAAGAGGTCAACGGCATGGAAAGCCATATTTTATAGCCTGGAGTGGTTTCGGAGAGAAGAAACCCCAGAAAAAATATTTAAGTAAAGATCGACAGTTGACTATTCAAAACATACGTAAGAGAATGCAATCGTTTTCTTTAACCGATGATCGGGGCATTTTCAAATATAGTATATGAAATGTATTTAATTCATTCCTTGCTGTATTTCATGTCTGCAAAGAGCAATGTCCTTCTCAATGACTCTCTCAATAACATTAATGAATTCGTCTAACACGCCAAATAATGCCTTGACATCTTGTAATGTACTATGTGATTAAATAGAGACCTACATTCACGATCACAGCTGTTCTATGATAAAACTTAACTCACCTCATACATTACACGTGACATCCCATAATTAATGGTATGTACTCATATTATATGGTTAAAGTACATTTCGGCGGATAAAAGACGGAATTTTAGCACCTAATCATTAGGTGCCTTGTCCTCTATACATGTATACCGGAATACGGAATTTAATGTGTTGCTTCAACACTTTTTTTAGTCTCACTCTTGAAAAGAGTTTCTAAAACAAGACCAAGATCGCACAAGTGGCGAAAGAAAATCATTACTTTTTAGAGGTACATTCTAAAACGCCAAGTAGTTAAATGCTTCTAATTCAATTACTTTCGAAATTGCACACATTGATTCTTTTTACATTGTATATGTCTTTATTATCTTTTAAGTGCTCCAGTTAATCTATGTAAGATTCATATATTTGGCCTCTAAAGTTATAATATATTGAATGTACTTACATGATTATTTATTACGATTAAAAAATAAAAGTATAACTTTAATGTAATGTCACATTTTGGTTGTTTATAGCTTCCTTTATCTGTGCAACAACTGCCTTTATCTGTGCGACATCTCCCCACCCCAACCATCCCCCACACCCAACCCCAAATGAATACAGCAGTTCCTCAGTTCTGGAAGCGATCCTGGTACTTTCTTTCACATGCCCGGTGTAGAGCATCGTTATATGGGATCTTGGTTTCTAGAGATTTTTTTAAGAAACCCATTAGTATTGTAAGTGGTGATAGCGGGGTTTTCTTTTATATGACCCCTTTGCCCTTGATAAGATTACCAGATCAGCGTTTATCAATTTACCAGAGAACCATCAGTGTTTTTTCTCACTTAATTTGCCCAAGCCTATTGATTTTGGGAAAAGATGTCGCTTATACTGCTAAAATGGGAAGTTAAAACTAAAAGCTGGTGTAAGTTCAGATTTTTTGGGAAGACTGGATTATTTCAAAGAACATTTCGATTGGGAAGAGGTCTATAAAGAAGAGGCCTTTATAGGCTATGTTATATCAGGTGAAACATCACTGATCATAGATGTGCTCCCCTCATATGGTTCTTGATTTGGCATTATATATGTAACTGAGAGGTCAATACTTAGGAATGTGAAATGGTTTATGATTACATTTATTCTTTATTTTCATGTGATATAAATTAATAAATATTTATAATTACTTAAATATTTATAATTTCTTCAATATACTGTATATTGTACTTATAGTTAAATCATATTGTACAGGAATTATCTGGTGAATAATTTAACCTGTTCTGTATAGAGACCAAACTTATTCTGCAGAGGAATATTGCTAGGACATGTGCAGGTAATAAGTTAACAAGGTGTGCCTAATTATAAAAGACAGGTTTGGAATAGCTTTAAACATTTTAACTGGTAATTACACGTAAGTTACATTAATTACAAATTACAATAACGAGTCAAACTGATAAAGCTCTGCCTACATGTTTTTCTATATTAGTAATTTCTATTCAATATGTGTCCTCTAGCTTTAAAAAAATGTGTGTTAAAGCCTCTTATTAACCCATTGCTTCATGAGCATTTTGTGAAAAATGGCTGTTTTCATTGAAAAGTCTCCCGTTACAAGTTCAAATTGCTATAATATTATAAAAACTGCTTCAACACTAATCAAACTTGGCACAAATGTTGACTGGACCATTGCCCTTGCAACAACATGCTCAGGCTTAAATTTTCTGTTACCATGGCAACGAGGGGACATCTCAAAATTGCCAAAAATCACTATTTTGCGTTGATTTTTTCCATCAAAATTGATTTCAAAGTGCTGCAACTTCTCAATGGATTGAGATAGAGTCAAATGCTTTTCAGCGTTGCTTACACGTTACCTTATGATCAATCTGGGGTCATTTACAGCCTCTCACAAGCCCAAAATTTTCTTGGCGATGAGGGGGACTCCGCCCCCCTTCAAACCCCCCAAACAGAAGGGGGCACATCCCCCATCAAAATTGATTTCAAAGTGCTGCAACTTCTCAATGGATTGAGATAGAGTCAAATGCTTTTCAGCGTTGCTTACACGTTACCTTATGATCAATCTGGGGTCATTTACAGCCTCTCACAAGCCCAAAATTTTCTTGGCGATGAGGGGGACTCCGCCCCCCTTCAAACCCCCCAAACAGAAGGGGGCACATCCCCCTTCTGGCAACCCCCTGATGTATCTTTTGGTTGGGGGGCCGCGCCGAAAAAGAGGTCACTTTTTTAACAACATTTCTCAAACAAAACCAAGTGTTTGGGGCCTAAATAAGGCATTTTTTCATCATTTGAGACAACAAAAAGGGGGGGTGTGAAAAAGGCGTTAAAAGGCGTGTATATGAAGTAATGGGTTAACAGAAAATGATGAAAAACTTGAAATTACCCTAAATCGCGTTTTTTCATGTTTAATCATGGCCTGTCATATAAATTTGATGAAAAATTGTTGTTTTGTAATTTTTTATTTTTTTCATTAACCCATTGCTTCATGAGCATTTTGTGAAAAATGGCTGTTTCATTGAAAAGTCTCCCGTTACAAGTTCAAATTGCTATAATATTATAAAAAACTGCTTCAACACTAATCAAACTTGGCACAAATGTTGACTGGACCATTGCCCTTGCAACAACATGCTCAGGCTTAAATTTTCTGTTACCATGGCAACGAGGGGACATCTCAAAATTGCCAAAAATCACTATTTTGCGTTGATTTTTTCCATCAAAATTGATTTCAAAGTGCTGCAAACTTCTCAATGGATTGAGATAGAGTCAAATGCTTTTCAGCGTTGCTTACACGTTACCTTATGATCAATCTGGGGTCATTTACAGCCTCTCACAAGCCCAAAATTTTCTTGGCGATGAGGGGGACTCCGCCCCCCTTCAAACCCCCCAAACAGAAGGGGGCACATCCCCCTTCTGGCAACCCCCTGATGTATCTTTTGGTTGGGGGGCCGCGCCGAAAAAGAGGTCACTTTTTTTAACAACATTTCTCAAACAAAACCAAGTGTTTGGGGCCTAAATAAGGCATTTTTTCATCATTTGAGACAACAAAAAGGGGGGGGGTGAAAAAGGCGTTAAAAGGCGTGTATATGAAGTAATGGGTTAAAAGGTGAACGTAAATTACGTTACCTAATAGCTTGCTTATTTCAGTTAATACCTTTTGTAATAACAGACAACACAGACTTTGTTTTATTAATCAAATTAAAGATTATCTGATTTAGGAATGAGCTGTGTGTACATGAAGTATGTAGCTTATTTTAAGTGCATGAAAGTGTTGACAGGTGTATTTATAAATGCTTTGTAACTATCATGATGATATCCGCATAATTGCGTTGCTAATGATTGATAAAGTGTTCACCACTTCTATAAATACGAAATGCAAGGTTATATAGTGTTAATGTTAAGTGGTTATCCTTAAAAAAACCAGCGAACTACAAAGGGTACCGTTAAATATCATACACGAAAAATTTCCCTTACTCCCATTGTGAATATAATGCACTGGTCAGTATGAATATTCCGAAAAAAAACCATTAACAACGGTCCAACAACGCGGTAGTTTGCCATCATTTATATACATGTAGAACGTAATTATTTACATAATAATCTAGAAAATCTACATAATAAATACAAAAACTTACTCTGCAGCAGTTAATCCCGAACAGTTTCATTCAGTTAATCCTTGAAATTTGTAGAATTATTTGTACAACACAAAAGCAAATAAAAGGCGTATTGGTTTCTAAGGGAAGTAACCGATTAAGTACTTCATTTTACAAAGAGCCCCGGCTTATTCAAATAAAATTAAGATATCAGATTTCCTGATAATTGCATGCTTCATAATGATTAATATACATTTTGTTAAAAGAAGAATACGTTTGTTTACGTATGATATTTAAACGAGAAGAAGTTTTTTCGAAAATACAATGTATATACAATAATCTGATTGATATAACATTTATAATGGAACAGGGGAAGGAATTTTATGAAACGCATACTTTGTTAACATACGAGTTGTCTTTCTTGCGCATTAAATGAAAATATTTCAGTACGGGGTGAATAAGATGTTATGCTATATATGACAAAGTCAATGTTTTATTTATTCATTTATCTAGATATGTATTTGTTTGTTATCACTCACTCACTTACTCAATCAATCAATCAATCAACCAATCGTCCATTTTTATTTATTTATTTATTGGTTGGTTGGTTGGTTGGTTGGTTGGTTGGTTGGTTGGTAGTTAGTTAGTTAGTTGGTTTAGTTGGTTGGTTGGTTGGTTGGTTGGTTGGTTGGTTGGTTAGTTAGTTAGTTAGTTAGTTAGTTAGTTAGTTAGTTAGTTAGTTAGTTAGTTAGTTAGTTAGTTAGTTAGTTAGTTAGTTAGTTAGTTAGTTAGTTAGTTAGTTAGTTAGTTAGTTAGTTAGTTAGTTAGTTAGTTAGTTAGTTAGTTAGTTAGTTAGTTAGTTAGTTAGTTAGTTAGTTAGTTAGTTAGTTAGTTAGTTAGTTAGTTAGTAAAAACATGCCCAACCAACGTCCATCCTGAATACCCAATATGTCTAAGAATATCCACCCAATACCACCCTAACCACCTACCTCTGTATCTACTTTTGAATATATCAATACAACACAATTTCGGTTTCAATTTTAATATGTATTATATACATATAGATATTAGAGTGAAGAGATTGTGTTCGATTTTACTTTCCAAACGCCAATGTCGGTATCTGTGGTGGACTATAAAGAAAAAAATAGCTTTTTAATCGAAATGAGGCAAAACACAACCTCAATAAACGGTATATAGTTGTCATTCATACATGTATAGTCATTGTATTGTACGTATGTATTGATCATGAAAAGAAGAATTGTTGAGATGATAATAAAGAATCTTAACCAGAATTCAAGTTTGAGTTATAAAGATAGTATGGCCGGTTATATGACCCTTTATAAACCTTTATTTGAATAATTATATAACCCGAGTCGCTAGAAAAAAAAACGAATTTACATGTACTTCTCAAATTTGACAGCAGTCGTGTAATATGGTTTATATAAACGTCACAATTATCCAATGAAACGTGACGTTACAAACGTGTAGCATTATAAGAATATTTATATAACGATTTCAGTAAAAAAAGATCATCAGAAACATATGATATGTTCGGAATAATAAACGCATATACTTATAAACGCATGCCTTGATTGACTCGTCCGTTAATTAGCAGAAGGACTTTTAATTTTAGAAATTAAGTTTACAATTCAATCAATTTTAGACGGCTACTCACTTATATTCGCATATATATTTCTCTCTTCGGTCACACATGACGTCAGCCAGTTCAAAATTATGCGTCTTACCATCGCCGTCAAATTTATCAAGGAGCACGCAACTTTCGTCTTTCTGCCCATTGTAGTGATCCGGCTCACCGGTAGCCCACATGTTAAATACCGTAGAGTTATATACAGTGTGACTTATTGCCCACTCGTACACATTTCCCTGACGTTTGTTACTCAGACCCACCCATCGGCTTATACCTTCAATAAAAAATTTGATTTCATTATGTAGAATTCGACACATTAAAATAAGAAATGTAAGAAAATAATATAACTTTATTCTCATTCGTATTACTATGCCCATCCAGCAATTCTTGGGCATTAAATTAAATAACGAGGGCAAAAAGACTTATTTTATGCCTGAAAACAATTCAGTCAACCAAAGAAGCTAAATAAGTCACATGTCCCCGCTTTAAGTTACCATAACGTAGGTTAAAAGAATAAATGCAAGATTATACTACTTTTTTTTTTTTTACAGAGTGATTTAAATATTACCTTCACGATCTTTGCTTGCTTGTTTTACAAACACATATTCCGGTTCTGTATTGATTTCTGCCAAGTAACCTCCCAACATATTGCACGATACCTGTAGCAGATTGACTGAATTATAGATGTTCTATATAGATAAAGGCTTGTAGTACAAATTTTGATTTTCCGATGAAGACGTTGAAACTAATTAAATGTGTTGTCTTTATACAACAAATGGTTGCGACACATATTATCGTAATTACTTAAAGTACTAATCATATTTATTTTTTATAATGTATGTTATGTACGCGGCATCATGAATTCGCGACGCGACCGATTCGCCAATAATAGCGAAAATTAAAACATCGCGAAAAATACCGGATTTACAGTAATACATTTTGTATGTTGGCATGTTTACACTTAAAATATGAACGGAAAACATACTCTAACATTATATAACTAATATGCTCATACTTTGTCAGTAAAATACTAGTAAGTAGGATAATTTTGACTAAGGGTCCAGTCAGTACGGATATGTATCTATAAAATACATTTGTACATTGTATTTCTATAAACTATATATAGTAAAATATATGTTGATTCCATGATATTATGAAAGATTCACGAAAGATGACCCGATGATTAAACACACATGAATTGTGCATGTAAACGGAATAAAATGTTTCGTAAAGAATTATTATCCTGCAATTAGGAGACAATGATTTTGCGCATGCGCCATTTGCTCTTAAGGAAATATACAAACATGTTTCTTTCGTACATGTATTTTAGAAGTATTATTCTTCAAAATTCAAAAGTATTTTTGCAGCAGATATATAACTTCATACGCTTTAAGTTTGGATTATTTTTTCTTACAGTCGTAAAGACTATATATGCAGCGTTCCTGTCGAAAAGTCCAAACATTTCGATGGTTATAAGGGTTAGATACGACAAGAAAACTTGGATTAAGTGAACCTACTTCATACATGGTTCCTATTTAAAGAATCTTACCAAGGCCCCTGTCCAAGTTTCTAAATCATGACTGAAAAAATAGTATGAAGTCATCGCCGTTCCATTAAAAGTTTTGTCAAATCCCATTGGCGGCGACCCTGAAAAGAAATGATTTTTTTCTGTAATAAATTCTTCATATAGTTTACCCCCCTTGTATTCAATACAAAACGCTGATAACTTAAAAAATTTATTGAAGAAATGTATATATCTCAACGAAAACGTGTATTTGTTTAAAATTGAATTGACTGTGTAAGACTTCGTATGGTTATGGCTCGAATACGACACCATACTTATACATATAACAGAAACAAACAACAAACAAACAAAAACACGTGTAATGAAACAGTGAGATTCTATTTATAAGGTAGTGCTTACCTCCTGCATTAAAAATTTGAACTAAAAAATAAATCGCTGAAATCGTAAAAAGATACATTTTTAATATCCAAGTTAATTTATAGTTAGTAAGAATTTTAAAATTAAGAAAAGATAAGAGAATCAACCCGTTTTCTTATCATGACGAATATTTCTTCAAGCTAAGCGTGTCATAAATCCACTTAAGATTGTGACATATTTAACATAATTGTAACGCTTTATAATAGATACGATATTGAAAGGTCAACCCCCTCCCCCGTTTCCCCACCCCTTCCCCCGCAGCAAATTTTACGGGAAAATTGTCTACTGTGTCATTTATTGGCGAAGAGATTTTGTTCGGGAGGATAAAACTTTATCATTTATTTTGAGAATAGTATAAATTTTTATGTATTAAATTATTTCATTCGTGAACACCAGCTATTATGTTTTCACTGGTGACTACGCCACTCGTGAAAATATTGCATCTGGTGTTCACTCGGTGAAATATATTTCAATCTTACATGCAAACAAGCAAATATCCTCTATTTAAAACTAGTACCGACAAATTAGTTCGTGTCAGTAACTCTTAAGATTACGCCGTCGGTTAAACGCACGAGTACGGGCATATTGATTACACCGGGTACAATAGTTCAAAAGAGTGTGTTATCTCGACGCCGCTTAAAAATGGAACGATTTATTGACTTGATATATTTGCTATATTTTGCCAGTCATATTCCAGTTGCAATATTTATAGATTCGCAAGCAGTTTTGCCGAGATGGATTTATCCAAAACCGGTAAGAAAACTGAATAACGTAAACGTTTTTGATCAACTTATTACTTTTGTTTCGTTGATGATCACTGTCATGAATATGTTACTGGACAAACAAGTTTGAACAGTTCAGTTTTTTTTTCTCTCACGAGATCGCAATTTTAGGGAAATTTTTACATATTTGATAATTAAAAAATTATAAATTGATGAATATAAAATTGATAACATTTATCTTAATAATTTAGGGCGATTATTTTATCGAGCTATGTTATGTAATCGGGGAAACACGATAGCTGTAAACGGCTGGTCTAATGTTTTGTAAACTTTCAATTTTGTATTTGTAAATAGTTTGATACTGAAAACCAAACAAATTCTTGCTTTGCACGTAAAAATATTTTTCCTTTTTCCTAGATATTTATAGAGTCGCAATAGTCAATTTATTGTTTGTATTCCAGACATTTATCGTCTGTACGTCAAAAGCAATAATATGTTTCAAATAGTTTATGCATTCATGTGTTTAAAACACTTTATATTTATCGTACTGTACATGTGATATTAGTCCTTATTAAGATACATTTGCGTTCTCTCGATCAACATTGTTCTCATTTACTTTCAGGCAGTAGACCTTGTGGACTGGTACATGAATGAGTTTGGTGATTCTATGATGAAAGGGACACAACCCTGGTTCCAGTCGTTTATTGTCTGTGAAATTCTGCTACAGTTTCCGTTCTTCTTTGTGGCACTTTACGCAATCTTGAAAGGTAATGCGAAATATAACGACACCTTTACAGTACATGGGAAATAACAGAACTCTTGGTTACATTAAATCATACATATAATGTTTATTTCTATGTGGGAGACGAGGGTCAGTATATTTCTATTGAAGTTTGAACAATGAGAAATACTTTCGCGTTCACTATATACGAAAAAGATACTGATTTTCTTCTTACGGTCACATTTTGTATGTTTGTTTGTTTGTTTGTTTGTTTGTTTGTTTGTTTGTTTGTTTGTTTGTTTGAGATATAAATGTGTGTGCGTGCGTGCGTTCGTGCTTGCGTGTTAGAGAGATACTCGGCATCAACACTTTACCCGGTAAAAGAAATGAAATATTTGAAAAGTTGTGAAAGAAAATACTACCTGGATTGTTGTTTATCACTGTTTTATTGAAATAAAATTAATGAGAATATAAATTTTCACAAAAAGATAGGTATTTCTGGGTATACAACAGATGCGATGTCTTATCAAAGATATAGTAGATACAACTTATATACAAATATATTAATTCATTTGAAAAGGACACGTTTATATCTAATAATGTGATTTATGTTTTTTATGTATTGTAAAATTGTTTACATTTGTATGACGATGCATACTTGTACAAAATCTGTTCTGTTCCATAATCTGAAATACAAATTTTATTTGTAGATATCAAGTAGTACAAGTTAGTTATCTTTCTTTTTTCAGGTATCTCGAAAAATCGTTGGATAAGAATTCCTTTGATCGTTTACTCCACCCACGTGACCACCGTGTTGATCTGTATATATCATCACTTGTTCTTACATGATTTCTCGAAAGACGAATTTCCTGGACCAAAGACCATGAAAGATCGTGCACTTCTTGGACTTATTTATTTTCCATATTTTATTGTGCCTGTGATTTTATTAATAGATGCCCTGTTTAGTTCCAGATATAGGACAGATAATGCACGTGCAAGACCTGTAAATGCAAAGAGTAAAAAAGCCCGGTGATTTCTAACATGGTTGTTGTAAACTGAAATTAGCCAGGCGACAAAGACTTAATGATCATTATAACATGTTTGAACAATTTCATATGTTTTTTCTTCTTCTTCTTCGTCGTCGTCTTGTTCTTAAATTCTTCTTCTTCATTTAAGTTTAAAGGAGGTTCACTGAGGTCCAAACTTTTCAAAGTTGTATTTTTACATATGATCAACAGGGGTACTTTAAAAATAAGAAAAAAATATGCAAATATAAAATAGGTTTACTTGAGGCCATATTCCATTACAGATAAAATTATTATTCGGGAAAACAAAGAAAATAGAAAGAGTGAATGTTATTGATACAGACCAACATAAAGCTGAACACAAATATCAAAAAATACTTCCATACAGTGCCCATAAAACCTCAGTGGAAGCCTTTTAAGTAGTTAAGTATACAAAAACAAAAAAGTCGAATGCCTCCAGCTTATTAAAAATTTACTATTATTGATTTTTTTATTATCGATACTATATTTTCATATTAGTTTTGACAATGTATGTAATAAATAAATTACGGTCATGTAATTGTGGTCTTATAAGTGTTCTAGTGTTTGCACTGGTGCTTACTATAGTGTCCGGTTACCGCTTTCAAGTTTCAACAGTCGGCAAGATACCTACAACCAGTGTAAAATTTTTATAGTGTTACACAAATATAATAAAGAAAATGTGGTTTTTAGCCTGATTATCCGACATAAAAGCGTGTATTTTTAAAGCTAAAATATATAACATATACTTAAACGATGGAACAGGATCATTTGGACGAAATGTTGGGATGTCTTGACTTCTTTCGACGAAAGGGAAATGATATTGACCAATCATAGAGATGTTCTGACTATAATACAGGCGGGACAATCTGAGTATATATCAAGAATTTGCAATAAATCTTTCTTATCTTAATTAGCATGAAATGAAATGATTTGTTCCAAACGGTCGGAGGATAGCTTCTTTTTCTTCTTTTTTCTTTTTTTTTTTATGTTGTATATAAATTTAAATTAGTTTTAAACTTTTTTAAAACATAAACGTGTATTTGTATGGATGTACCAGGTTAAGCAGGCATTTATGATAAGGAGGCGGGGCTTGTTACAGCCGACAGCTATGGAGGGCGATCGTTGCCAAAATTCCAGACATGTAATGTGTTTCTTTTGAAAACTACTTTTGAAAATGCGAACATGTATGTCTAGCATTTTTGATTGCATTCGTGCACAGCAAATGATATGCCTCTTAATCCAATCCTTTAATTGAAGGTACCCGCTTTTAAATAACAAGGTTACATGTAAATCTTAACAACTGACCTAACACACATTTACAAGTTCGTATCTACCATTGCATATAATACATAAGCATGTTTACACACTTGTAGATATATATCTGTACCTGAAAAACACAAATGAAATGTAAAACTCGAATGCAGAAAATATAATTTAATAAAACGTGTTTCCAGTCGTAGAACTACAACAGTACATTTACACAGTTACATGTTAAAATGACAAAAGTAGATTCACAAAGTTAAACGATTTTAAGTCGTGCATGACGCCCCGCCCCTCTCTGAGTATTTACGATCTTCTATCACGGAAATGTACGGACAGGTATAATACCCGTCGCCTCTCTCCTATTTCTCAATAAAGTGAAGGAAAACACGGCGTCCATTCTAACTTTTTTTTATTTCTATAAAAAGTCCAATATTATTGGTATAAAATGAAAGATTACTCCATAAGCTTTCTATGAGTGCCTCGGAAATAAAAATGAATTAAATAGATGTATTGAATTTTTTGTTGTTTTTTTACTCTGAAAATAACACTCTCGAATTGGTAAGAAAAACACGGCGTTCCCCTCCAAACTTTTTTTTTTATTTCGTAATTTTGATAATTTTGGATTGAAATAAAAGTGTGCTTAATACGATTTATGATATATAATTATATAATGCCTCAAAATAAAAATGAATTAAAATCAAAATGAATTAACTTTTTCGTTAAAAAAGTTTATCATGTTACTTTCTGTAAAATAGAGAAAGTAAGATTTCCCTAAAGAACGCTCAAAACGACAAAATTGAGAATGTTGCAGGCCCGGTTTGATTGAGCCTGCTCATGGACGGTAATGGAAAGAGCAAGTTATCGTCCACGCCCCCCTAGCACCGGCTTAAGCAAAATTTCAACATGAACTGGTACAATTTTGAATTTTTGAAACATCCGCAGATGTGTTAATATGGCGATTGTCATGGAACCTTCAATGTGACACGTAAGTGCCATACCATGAAAAACGGCATATGATCCCCAAGTAAAAAAAAAAAAAAAACACACACTCTGAAATTCAGTAAGAGAAACATGGCGCCCCCTACTTACTTGTTTTATTTCTTGGTCAATTTTTGATAATTTTAGAAATGAATAAACAAGATCATCAAGGAAAGGCGGCGTTGATAATTTTAGACTCAAGTAAAAAATTCTGGAAACAAAGTGATCCCTCGGAAGCATTAATCACAACAAAATTACATAAGAATTGCAGACTCGGTTTGATTGAGTCTGTACATGAAAGATAATGAATAAATGCAACATCCCTCACGCCCCTTAGCACCGGATTGAGCGGTACTCAATTCTCAACACTTAATAGTACTTAAGAATCCTTAATGAACTTTCTAGTGATGCCTTAAAAATGAAAATTAATTACGTAGAAGTATTAAAAATTTTGTTTCTAACTTATCGTTGTTTATTTTTTTTTCTCTTAAATCCACACTCATAATAATTATATTCGGAAAAAAATAACGTCGCTTCCTTTAGATACTTTATTCAAAAAGGAAAATGAATATTGAATGAAGTTAAGACCATAAATTTTGAACAAGTGTATTAAAAATCTGGAAACAAAGTGATCCATCGGAAGCATTAATCACAACAAAATTACATAATAATTGCAGATTCGGTTTGATTGAGTCTGCACATGAGGGATAATGAACAAGTGCAACATTCCTCACGCCCTCTAGCACCGGCTTGAACTGTACTCAATTCTCAACACTTAATAGCGCTGGCATCAATGATCCCGAAAGACCAGAAAAATATAACAACACTGAAGTGAAGTACGGGGCAACTTTTTACTGCTGCCACATGGCACTTGACACCTGCTGTTGTGAAGTATAAAAATCTGGAAACAAAGTGATCCCTCGGAAGCATTAATCACTACAAAATTACATAAGAAATGCAGACTCGGTTTGATTGAGTCTGTACATGAGCGATAATGAACAAGTGCAAACAGTTTTTATTCATACTGAAAATACCTTATTAAAGATTGTACATATGTGCTACGGATAAGTATTTTCTTGATTTCGGAAAGGAACTCTCGGTGGCCGTTTAAAATATACTTGCATAGTTTTTGTTGAAAATGAAATTTGTGCCAATACATTTTTCAATGATACCAATAAGAATATTGGATGGTTTTTTACATTATCAATAAAATTACTCCCTTGAAATAGATAAATACAGAATTGAAGTTGGTCATTGTTTCCCCTAAAAATTTCCAAATGTTTCTCAGGAATATATGATAAACAAGATCAACAAGGAAAGGCGGCGCTCAATGAACGCAACCCCACATGAACATGCAACAAGAACAAGTGGCAAGAAGCCCAGGCGGACCATAAACAAAACACAGGACAGGGCACTAGGCAGAGCACGGACAGGATAATCACTAAAATGATAAATCATTTGTAACTGATAAGAACACGATATTAAATAATAAGGTACTGCATAAGTTATCTTCATCATAAATGGTAAAATCAGCAATTTTCAAGTGATGTTGCTAGTGACAAAACTTTTGTAACAAATGTAACATATATACGAGTATGTTATGAAAAATGCCGTATGTTGTCCTTCAGTTTTATTTAAAAATATGGGAGAGGCGCCGTTTTATACCTGTCCGCAATAGAAGTTCGTAAATACTCCGAGAGGGGCGGGGCGTTATGCTTGACTTAAAATCGTTTAACTTTGTGAATCTACTTTTTGTCATTTTAAAACATGTTACTGTGTTTAACGTACTCTTGTAGTTCTACAACTGGTAACACGTTTTTCTTAAACTCTATTTTCCGTATTCGAGTTTTACGTTTCATTTGTATATTTCAGATTCTATAAGTGTGCAAACATGCACATGTATTGCATGCAATGGAAGATACGAACTTGTAAATTTGTTGTCGTTTTAGATGTTAGGTCAGTTGTTACGATATATATGTAAACTTGTTATATAAAGGCGGTAACCTTCAATTAAAAGATTGAATTAAGAGGTATACAATAAAAATGGTAGGCATACAAGTTCGCTTTTTCAAAAGTCATTTTAAAAAGGAACACTTTACATGTCTGGAATTTTGGCAACGAACGCCCTCCATAGACAGCAGCATTCTACTACGCTAAACCCAAAAACTCACTGACCCGTGAGTGTTATTGACCGCGTCATACATGTACACCGTTCGGGTGCGTTTATTTGAGTAAATATAAATAAGTATGAATAGCAGTAAGTTTACTGTTTACATCACCGGATAAGTGTAAATATTAATGTACTAAACATGGAGAGATATATTGAATTTGTTTATTTATTATATTTTGGCAGTCATATTTTCTTTGCAATATTCTTCGATTCCCAGGCTATTTTCCCAGACTGGTTCTTTCCACAACAGGTATGAGGATTTTCTTTCTTTTGTATTAAACGAAATGTCAAGTTATAGAACATTATATAAGTATATTATTTATCTCTATATTTTTAAACACAACGTAATGTTAAGATAGTATATCTTAAAAATGTGTACATGTTTGTTATTTAAACATACTTTGTACAGTGTCAAAATCTATTTAAAAACTGACCTACATTTCATCGGTAAAGTTCATACGCTAAATAATGAACAGTTCAAACCCTTACTACTCGTACGTGATACAGTGATGATCGGAAGTAAATATGAAGCTTGTAATCTTAAAATATGTTACAAGTTGAATTGTTTAGACTCGCACTAAGTGATACAGTGGTTCCCTTAATACATGTGTATGGTATTTGGCAACTATCTTTATTTCTACATTATTCTTTCTTCATGATAACATGTTAAATTGCTTCAAGTCACTACTATACAACAATACACATGCATGTTTTAAGCTACAAGTGGAAACATGCGGTAAAGGGTAAAGGATGTGAAATTAATTCCAATTTTGGGACGGTAGAAGTAAAAAATAACAAAAAGCTTGTACAACAGATTGGTAATATTTGAGATTTTAACTGCAACTCCTTAATTGATCGATTGATTGATTGATTGGTCGGTCGGTGGGGGTTTGCTTATTTATTTATTTATTGTGAACAAAGTTCAAAGTGTAAAAATGAACAAAGGGCAATAACTCCAAAATAAGGCAAGACAGAGTTATGGTTCTTTGCACTGCACTTTCATCCAATGAGATCTATCTGCCTACAAACTTTCATGTTGATAGCTCTTATAGTTTTAGAGTTATGTCCCGAACAAATCGATTGATAGTTGCTTATTTATTTATTTATTTGTTGTGAACAGTTGAAGGATGTAGTAAAGTCGTATACAAGGGACTACGGGGATTCCATGGTAGCAGAACCGCCGGCCTGGTACCAGTCATTTCTCGTCTGCGAAATGTTGTTCATCGTCCCTTTTTCTTTCGCTGCTATTTATGCATATTGGAATGGTAACGTTATTAAAACATTTATTTAAAACAATTATCTTTAAGTTTTGATTTAAACATATTTTATTGCCAAAAATAAGACATATACATACATGTAGACAGTTACAATACAATGACATGACATATTTGGCAAAAGGGTTGACCCACAAGTTCTCTCAACATTAGCAACGGGTCTTCCCTGATGCAATAAATTACAATAACTTATTTTACAAGAATGACTATCAGTTAGATAGAAGTAACAAAACTCACACATATATATAGTACTTTATATATCTTTAAGTTTTAAGCGGTAGGGCCCCCATCGCCATTAGAATACATTAATATTCATAGAATAAAATGCATGGAAATGTTTACAGAGTTTAATAATAATACTAGTATTGCGTAAATATTCACAGTCAATCTATGTGTTAATTGGCATGTTTTATACTAAATGTGACTAAATTCACTGGGTTTTCTTCAACATTTTTACCAGCCGTGCACTGACTTCATTTTTTTCCCAAGCTCACAGCTCCTAAAGTTTGCGTAAGAGACTTTTTATGCACATTCTTCTATGTTTTTAGGTTTAAAACGCAACCGCCGATAAATGTCGCAAAATCTTCTGTTGTTTAGTGTGGCAATATAACGTTAAATGTCGCATGTTTTCCCTGTGCCGTTTAATGTCGCAACACTACCGCTTAATGTCGCAAGATGTATCAGCTAATGGTACTTATATACAATTAACATTGAATAAATGTTTGTTTATATTTAGTAGCTCTGGGAAAGAAAGGAATGTCCCGATCCTTCTGCCGACTCAAGATGAACAAAGCTTTAAAGTGGATTGGTCTACAATGGGCACATTTTACAAAAAGTATTTAAATAATGATAAAAAGCAATAGTAACGTACATTACACGTATTCTTACAAAATATTTCTAATTTTCTACATGATTTAATATGACATTTATATGATGAAATACTAGTATTTTGTTCTATCAGTATTCACACATAATTCTTTGATGGTTTGTTATCATTCTTGATACCTAATACTATCAACAAACATAAATATTTATGGTATTGCATAATTTCTTACAGACCAATTCACTTTTATGTTGTTTTTTTGTAGTGTTGTTAACAGTTGTCATATTCAAAAAATTGCTTTTGATTAGTCTACGTAACTGTGGCATATGTCTTAAAATTTTCATTTGTTATACTTTCTCAAGATGGAAAAGTTGTCAATACGATAGGTTAATCGAAGAAACACTTTTTTAATGACACACAGTAAACGTTAGCGGCAAGGGAAAATGGTGCGCCATTAAAACGTCATTATATTATAGACATTTAGCGGCGGTTTCGACATCTAGTGGTTATAGCGCGACAATTAGCGGCAAGTGCGACTTTTTAAGTCGTTGCGACATATAATGGTACCACAATGAGAAACTGCGTATTGTAATAACACTTTTAAGAATGACAAACTCGACTTCGAGACAGTTTTCTAAGGGCAGTGTCGATCTTACGTAAATAATGCTCTTTTATTATCACTGTTTAGAACTACATTTTTTCTTCTTTGTTGCAGGTGTTTCCAACAACAAATGGATAAGAACTCCGATGATTATTTACTCCACACATGTTATCACGGCAGAGTTCTGTATCTATCACCATATTTTCCTTCATGACTTCTCGAAAGACGAGCTTCCAGGACCGCAGAATATGAGAGCTCGTCTCGTTTTAGCAATGTTTTATTTCCCATACTTCATACTACCAATTATTCTTTTATTTGACTCACTTTTTAGTTCTGTTTATAAGTATGAAGTAGTTGCTTATCAAACTGCAAGATTGAGTGGAAAGAAAATACAGTAGTTTAATGTGGTTCCAGTAGCAGACGACAAATTATAGACTCGCTTATGGTA